TCCGAAGGAAAGACCTGTACAAAGCACCAAGTTCTAAAATCCTGACAACCCAGCGTGAACAAGAATGCACGGAGAGGGCGCAATGCCCACTGGACGTCGAATTCAAAACCCACTTTCTCCGAACAGTGCTTCAGGCCTCGGAACAAATTAGCGAACACATGCCGCATTCGTCCGTCAACGCTCCCCCCCTCCCCCCAATGTTCAAAGCTGGCGGTGGGTCTGATGGGGTGCACTTCGACCGCAGTCTCCCCCGCGCGTGCCAACATTGAGTTTGGGGGGGGAGGGGGGGAGTGTTCCGTAATTGTTTCCCTCCACCGTTGCACTGCGGGCTTCTTGCTTGCGTCGCCCTTCGTGGGCCCGGGTGGCGACCCAGCCGGCTGGAGGTCTCCCGTCGCCGCCCCGCCGCCGCCCCGCCGCCGCCGCCCGCCTGGCCCCGGGTGTCGGTCCGGCCGGCTTGCGGCTGCCCGTGGCCGCCCACCACACAGAGTGCACCGCACGGACTGCACCACAAAGACGGCACCACATGGGTAGCGTCCAAGCAGATGCACCACACAGCTGACACCACACAGCTGGCACCACACATATTGCACCTCACAGATTGCACCACGAAAGGTGCACCACATAGACTGCAGACCATAGACTACACCACACAGTCTGCGCCACCTAAATGGCACTGCATAGACTGCACCACAGAGATTACAGCACCTAGCTTCCATCACATAGATTGTACCACAAAGACTGCACCACAAACATTGCACCACATAGATTGTACCACACAGCTTACACCACATAGATTGCACCACATAGCTTACACCACATCTATTGCACCACATCGATTGCACCACATAGATGGCACCACATAGTTTGCTAGAACACACCGTTTGGGGTTTGCGCTGGCTGACATTGAGCGGCTGTGAAAGGTGGGGGAAAGGCACATGAGAAATGAGCGTGAAGAGGAGGGGCAGCCCGCCATATCAGCACCTTTGGGGCTCTGCTTGCTGACCGCGCGGGCGCACAAACCAGCTGACGACGGCAAAAACAACAACAACGACAACAACAGCAACAACAACAACAGCAACAACCACGGCGGCGGCGACGACGAAACCAGCGACGACGACGACGACGACGACGACGACGACGACGACGACGACGGCTGCGGCGGCGGCGGCGGGACGCGCGCGCGTGCGGGCGGCGCGGACCCGGGCGGACGAGGAGGACGCAGCTGCTTGGGCGGCGGGCACGGCGCCGAGGCCTTCCGCGCATCGCCGCCCCCGTCGTCGCCATCGCGCATCGCCGGTCGCCCTGCTCGTCTTCGTCGTCGCCGCCGTCGTCGCCGCAGTGGTCGTCGCCGCCGTCGCCGCCGGCGTTGTCGCCGTCGTCGTCGTCACCGGCGTCGCTGTCGCCCTCGCCGTCGCTGTTGTCGTCTGCGTCTCCGACGGCGGCGTCAGCGACGGCGTCAGCGACGACAATGGCGACAACGACGGCAACAGCGACGACGACGACGACGACGACGGCGACGACGACGACGACGGCTGCGGCGGCGGCGGAAGGGGAGGTTTTCAAATGTTCCCAAAATAGAAGGAAAACAAGCAAGAAATAAATATCGGGAAATCAGCTGCCCTTCAGGAGGGGCCATCCCTACCGCGCGCAACACAGAAAAACGAGCACGTGCATTGCAAGTCGGTCGTAATGCATTCAAGGGCTTTGCGATGCCATCCCCATCATCGCCGTCATCATCACTGTCATCGTCGCTATCGTCATCGTCAGGGTCGCTATCGTCATCACCGTAATCAGTGGCGCCATCATAATCGTCATCGTCGTCATCGTATCCGCCGTCATCAACAGCATAAGTGTCATTATCATGGTCACAACCATGATCATTGTTATCACCACACCACCATCATCATCATCAACAACAACAACAATTTTCCCATCGGGGCACAGGCCCAAAATAAGTCCACTGAGGCTCGGAAACGCAAAAATTGCCGATCTACATCTGAGCCATGTCCCGTGGTGCAGCGTCGTCATCATCATTGCCGCCATCGTCACCACACTCCTGCGACGCGGAGGGTACCTGATGCAGTCATCGAGTGCGTGGCGGGTGCGGGTAGAACAAGGTCCCCGAGGCTGACGCAGGCTCACAATCACACACACACACACACACACACACTGCTTCCTCCAGCGGAGAGGCAGCGGCACCGTCGCGAATAGGAAGCCGGGGCACGCTTAGTCGAATTCCCCCTGGCTTTGCAGATTTGGTGGGCTGAGAGAGGCAGCCGCATGCAGACAAAAACTTCCGCGTGGCGTGCACGAGGAAGACGCCAGCCGGCGGGCATGCAGCATGCAGCATGACCCACCCACCCACCCACACACCCACACACACGCACACACACACACACACACATCCACACACACACACACGCTTGTATTTGCTTCCCAGCCAGCTGGTCCAGCTCAGCGGAGAGATTAGTAGCAGCGAGCCCACGGGTGAGAATCACCACCGAACGTTGTTGGTGGGTGGACGCGCCAGGGGGCTGCAGTGCAGGAGAATGGCACGCACGACCGTGCAGGGCGCCAGCCTCGAGAGGGGGGGCGCTCGCAAGATGCGAGGGCAGCTGTGCCACGCGAAGCCCGTGAGGCCAGCCGCCAGGCGGCCGGCTCCGCGGGGAAGAATGAGGTGACGGACAGGGGCCAACGCGGCGGCGGCAGAGGAAGCAGACGGAGGCCACCCGAGGCGCGGCCCGACCCGCGGCTCCAGAAAGGCGTGGCGTGCCGAGGAGAGGCGGCGCTGGCCCACGGGCAGACGACCCCGGAGAGCAAGCAGCGGCAGAGAGGCGACGCCTTGGGAGCTGGGGCGAACCCATCACTGGGAGGGACCACTCACACACACACACACACACACACTCACACACACACACACACACACACACACACACACACACACACACACGCGCACGCACGCACGCACACACACACACACACACACACACACTCTTGGCGTCGGCGGCTAGACAGGGGTCGTCTGCGCTGGCGGAAGGAGTCAACAAAACCCGGTGCCTTTGTAGCGAATTGGCCAACATGCAAGAACACACACACACACACATACACACACACACACACACACACACACTGCGGCCCTGCGCGCCCTGCGCGCAGCGACAGACTGGCGTCGCGGCCCTGCGCGCGGCGACGTGGCGGAAGAGGTCGCGACGCAGCGAACGAGCGCGCGCGACTGGGAACGCCCGAGCCCTCAGAGGCCACTTTGGGGTCCCGCAGCGGCGGGCAGCCAGGAGCCACCCGGGCGTGGATGGCAGAGGGGACGGTGGGTAGACGAAGCTGCGGGGCCGTGGAGGGTGCCCTGAGCCATCCGGGACCGAATGGCGCAGCGAGCGGGCAAGCAGAGTGGTGCGACCAGGAGGAGAGCGAGGCCGACCGGGCAGCCCACGGAGGGCGGAAGAGAGGCGCACACGCTTTTGCGTCGGCGGCTGGGCAGCGGGACTGCGCCGGCGAGTGGAGCCGAACGGGGCGCGCGGGGCGAAGTCAGCCACCATGCAGGGAGGGGAGGGACAGCGAGAGGCGCCGGCCCAGGAGGGAGACTCACTCACACACTTTTTGATCCGCGGGTCGAGAGCGCACCTCTTCCAGTCGAGACTAAGCGGGCCGCGCGAAGCTTAAATTAGGCAGAGAAGAAGAGGGAGGAAGCAGCGGAGCCTCAGAGCGAGGCCAAGGGCGAGACTCACCCACACACACACACACACACAGCATCGAGAGCCTAAGCTCCACTCCACGCGCACCTGCCCGAGCGCCCGCGCGCGTGCGCGTCCGCGCCGAGGGCCCTCCGCGATCTCCGAGGGCATGGCCGCCCGAGGCCCCGGGACCTCCGCCGCCGGGGCTGCGGCTCGCGCGGCGCAGGCCGCATGGAGCCCGCGTCCCCAGACCCCCTCGAGCATTGAAAAAATCATGACGGGAGGTTTTTCGCTATTTTCGGCCTCGGGGGGCCCTCGCCGGGCCTCGGGACCGTCAAAAAACGACTCAGGACGAAAAACCGGTCCAGGGGAATGGGTCGAGACCTCCAGGGGTCGACGTATAAAAAAATCATGACGTCGGGGGTCTGGGTCTCCAGAAGCGGCGTCGTCGTTGAGGGACCCGCAATCAGCCTGGTGAGCGTTTTCTCATTCGGCGCTTCGACATTGGGCGGAAGGGGGGGCGGGGGAGGGGTCTGGCTCCGGACCTCTGCTCCATGTGAGTGTTTGCAGCAATGCGTCCCATGGGGGAGGCTCCACCTGCTCGAAGCTGGCGCCAAAAACAGCCAAGATCTATGGGGGGGGGTGCGAGGGCCCGCGCTGATCGGCAAAAAATGAATAAAAAACTATCACCTGTAAAAACAAGGACGCTCGGTAAGGATGCAACGGCCCTGGAAGGCCATGCCGACACTCTGCGAGCGTGGCGCGGACAACGGAAGCGGCCCGAGGAATGGCCAAAGGGGAGTGATCCACGGGGAACCTTGGAAAGTTGCTCATCCTTATTATGCGGGTTGACTGTAAAAAATTCTGACGTTCCTCGACTCGCGGTGGAGTATCTACGATTTACTCCATATCCCCATAAAAATCTCCGAAATTATTTCGATGCATCCTGATGTTCCTTGATATGCCTGGATTGACTTGTTTGGCCTGATCCACGCAAGTCGGCTGGAGAAAAGCCGTCACGACCTACGACAGCTCTGGCCGCGGAGAAGGAGCACGAGGACGAGGAGACGACTCCGACGGCGAGGAGGAAGAGGAGGACGAGGAGGAAAAGAAGGAGGAGGAGGACGAGGACGAGAAAGAGGAGGAGGAGGAGGAGGAGGAGCAGGAGGTGAGCGTCGTGAACCGCATCACGTCGGGAAGCACGCCCCTGGAAGTCGTCGTGTAAGACGCTGGAGCCAAGGCGAACAACAAGCGGGTCCAGATCAGCAAGAAGGTGGTGCGGAGCAGGTCGTGCCCCTGCTCGCCGACCCGGAGGTACGCTGCCAGGCACTCCTACCAGGCACTCGGAGTACGCTATACCAGTACGCTACCAGGCAGTGCGCCGAGCCGGAGAAGAAGGCCCTCAGCTCCTGCAAGGCCTCGGGGGACCACGGGCCTGGCGAAGATACACAATCGACAGACGCGATGCGGGCGATACTTGAGCATTGCTACCCCCTCGTGAGGCTCAAGACGACGTTCCAATTACCGCATCACTGGAACATCTACTGCAACGAACCCCTGCCCGGAGGTCATCCACTTCCCCGTGTACTGCGCGCCAGCCAGCGAGACGATCCTGGCACCGATGGACACCACCAAGGACCTGAACGAGGCGAACCTCAAAGACGCACTCCAGACGACTCTCTTCGGTACCGCCTACGACTACAGGGACCAACTTGTGATCTATGACTACGCCGCCAACTGGAGCCGTCAGCAACGTGAAATGCTACGCCGGGATTGCGCAGGAGCGCAAGCGCAAGGCGGAGGGCAATGTGGACGACCTGGACGACTGGGCCGCCGGGGCTTACCACTCGCCGCTCGTCATCACTACTACGACCTGCGGATGCGCTACCAGGCTTGCAGTACCTCCCCTCCTAAAAATACAGACTACGTTGCTTTCGACAAGTCGGTTGTTACCACGCGTGCCGAGAAAAAGAAGATACAGAACGTTCCACCCGCCCACGCACCTACCTACCTCGGTTTGCCTCTTCAAAGTATTGCACACATGGGCGCACCACGCACACATGGATACACAGGGCAAGCTACCTCGCAGCTCCTCAGCGTGTCCCTGCTCTACTTTACCAAGCCATACTGGTGAAGGAAGACGGGCCACACCTACGCAGATTCCCTACATCCTACCTGGCATACTGCTGCACAAAACGGGGGGATCAATTAGGCGCATCATCATAGCTACCATCTTGGCAGCCACTTGCTCGAACCGACAGTCAGCACGTTTACGAAGCGCACCTACGCCTCAATCGACTACGCGATGGTGGGAAATACCAGAAGGGCACTGGGAGGTTTACTCCGTCGCTTAGCCGAATATGCCCAATACTGGATTACAAGACAACTCTCCCATGGTTACGCGACTCGAAGCAACAGAGCCATTGGATACAAGCACTGCGCAAACGTGCTGGAACGGAAGACTGCAAGACGCAGCTCAAGATCAAGATGGACGTCAAGGGCTACTTCAACTACATGAACGGTGTAAACATTTCCATAACCCAATGCAGCACTGACCTCAAAGACGCCCACCCAAACGAACGACAAGCTTGAAAACCTTCCCACGGCCGAAGCGAAGCAGTTCCGCTACCGCGCGACCACGGGTTGCCTCTGAAGAACCAGATGCCTGCTGAGACGCACACTTTCACTACTTCAGTACGTTTCCCGTACCACTTGTCTTTCGTCCGGACAACGAGGGTAAACCGACGCTCGACATCACAACCACACCAACTACCGCGTCGCTCAAAAAAGCTTTCGCATCAAACATGTACCCCTCCCCCCCGGGAGCACACCGATTGCCACGAAGAAGACGACCTCAACCACGCGAATATCTACTACACGAACCGCGGCACCCGCGGGCTGGCCAACGAGCAGAAGTTGCATTACCAGCCTCGGATTACTGGCGGGGCAAAATTTCACATCGAGCTGCATAGCCCCATGGGCATTGCCATTCCGTGCGAGGAGTACTTGGCCCAGGGGGGGCCCCGACCTGTGGCACCCCACCTCAAGCGTGGACCTGACTGCCTACTACATGGAATCACGAAGAGGACCTGCGGGGACTACCGAGAATAATCTCCGCTCCCAGCTACTACTTTTGGACTGGACCGTTGTGCAACCGTACGTACACCAAAAATAGCATCACGATGCTTCGCCGTCAGCGTTGTAGACAAGAGTGCGCCGCGTACTAGGCTGCGGGGAAGATCCTACGTCGACCCCTGCGACGGCTGCTTCATTTGATTGGCCCCACCGCTCTACCCCATCCAATTACTCCAGCCTCGTACGTAGCGTATGGCATGGTACCTCTCTCCTTCTGCTCTCTCCCTCCCTCCCTCTCTCAGGAAACCTACCCTCGCCAGCGTGCGAGGGTACCACCGCCGCGTTAGCCGTGCGCCCGTCCGCGGGCGCGCGCGGGGGGCGTGGGGGGCGGATCCGGGAGCAGCGCGGGGCGCTGCGTCAGTGAGGAGGTGGGCGGGCCCAGGGGGTCGTCGCCGAGGAACAGTGCGCTTGAGCGGAGCGCGCAGCTGCTTGCGCGAGGACGGCGGCCGAGACGCGGCGGATCGAGCGGTGCGCCAGCAGCACGGGGGGGCTGCACCCAGGGGCAGCGGAGCCAGGAGTCAAGAGCAGGAGGGATCGAGCAGCAGAGAAGTGGTCAAGCAACAGCGAGCTCGAGGACGGACGACGAAGACGACGACGATGCTGATGATAATAAGATGATGATGATGATGATGATGATGATGATGATGATGATGATGATGATGATGCTGATGATGATGATGGTGCTGATGATGATGATGATGACGATGATGATGCTGGTGATGATGATGGTGCTGATGATGATGATGTTGATGCTGATGATGATGATGATGATGATGATAATGATGATGACGCTGATGATGATGCTGATGATGATGATGATGATGATGGTGATGATGATGATGATGATGATGATTGCGACGACGTAGACGACGAAGACAACGACGACGACGACGACGACGACGACGACAGCGACGACGACGACGGCGGCCTCGTCCTCGCCCTCGTGGGGCGCGCTCGAGCCCTGCGACGGGGTCCGCCTCCTGTGGTCCGCCGCTGTCCCCTCCTCCTCCTCCTCCTCCTCCTCCTCCTCCTCCTTCACCTCCCTCCCCTCCTTCTTGAAGAGGATGGGGAAGGCACGAGAAGGGAGGGTCAAGGTGCAGTCAAGGTCTAGGGGGCAAAAAAACAGTCCTCTTCTCTTTATCCGTCTCCTCCTCCTCGCCAGGTTCCTCCACCTAGTCATCAGCATCAGCATCAACATCAGAAGCAGCAGCATCATCATCATCAGCAGCATCATCATTAGCATCATCATCAGCAGCAGCAGCGAAATCATCATCATCAGTATCATCATCACCATCCTGATCGGCATCAGCATCATCGTAAGCACCAGCATTAGCATCAGCGTCATTATCATCATCACCATCATCATCATCATCATCATCATCATCAGCAGCAGCAGCATCATCATCGTCAGCAGCATCAGCATCATCATCATCACTTATCGCCAACCCCCAATTACAACTCGCCAATCGCACCTCACAGATAGTCACAATAATCCTGATATTCCGCATCCTCCTCCTCCTCCTCCTCCTCGCCATCATCATCATCATCATCATCACCAACAACAACACCAGCGTCGCCATCATCAACATCACCACCACCACCATCATCATCATCAGCATCGTCATCATCATCAGCAGCATCAGCATCAGCATCAGCATCGCAAGCATCCTTATCATGAGCAGCATCAGCATCATCGTCAGCATCATCAGCATCATCCAGATCATCAGCAGCATCATCAGCATCATCATCATCGTCATCATCATCATCAGCATCATCATCATTACCAGAATCAGCATCATCATCAGCATCATCATCATCGCCGTCAGCATCAATATCGTCAGCATCATCTTCATCATCATCATCATCATCATCACCATCATCGTAATCATCATCACCATCACCATCATCAGCATCATCAGCAGCATCAGCAGCATCATCAATCGCATCAGCATCAGCATCAGCATCGTGATCATCATCAGTACAAGCAGCATCACCATGATCATCATCAGCGGCATCAGCATCATCATCATCATCCGCATCCGCAACCGCGTTCGCATCCGCATCGTCATCACCATCATTGTCATTACCATCATCAGCAGCATCCTTCTCATCACCATCAGCATCGCAAGCATCACAACCATCAGCTTCATCTGCATCATCATCAACACCAACATCAGCACTATCACCCGCACTACCACCACCACAATCATCATGATCCCCATCAGCATCATCATCAGCATCATCATCATCATCATCATCATCATCAGCATCATCAGCATCATCGTCATCGCCGTCCTCCTTATCGTCGTCATCATCCGTATCATCTGCATCATCATCAGCAGCAACATCATCACCAGCGGCAGCAGCAGCATGCTCGTCGTCATCATCATCAACACCATCAGATTCATCGGCATCATCATCAGCAGCAGCAGCAGCAGCATCAGCAGCATCAGCATCAGCAGCATTATCATCATCATCACCATCCCGATCCCCGGTTCCCGATCCCCATCTCCATCCCCATCCCCATCCCCATGCCCATCCCCATCCCCAGGCCCTCCCCCCCTCCTTGTCATCCTTCTCCCACTCTTGCTCCTCCCTCCTTTTCCATCTCTCCTCCCTCCTCCTCCTCCTTCTTCTCCTCCTCCTTCTCCTCCTGCTTATCCTCCTCCTCCTCCTCCTCCTCCTCCTCCTCCTCCTCCTCCTCCTCCTCGTCCTCCTCCTCCTCCTCTTCATCCTTTCTCCTGGGAGGGAGGAGGTGGATGGAGGAGGGGGAGGAGGGGGGAAGGGAGGAGGAAAGAAGAACGAAGAAGGAGAGCGGAAAAGTGAGGAGGGGGGGAACGGAGGAGAGGGGGAGGAGTAAGAGGGAGGGGGGTAGAGAGGAGGGAGATGGGGAGGAGGGAGAGGAGAGGAAGAGTCGAGTCGCAGAGGCCCAGCGCATCCGACGGCGGCTTGGCACTGGACACGGGCGGGCCGAGGAACGGCGGCAGCGGGGGGCGGAAGCGCCAGGAGACGCGGAGCTGAGCAGGTAAAGCCGTCAACACAGCGGCCCGCAAGTAACCACTCACGAGCGGCGAGCAAAGCGGCACCCCGTGCACAGAGGCGCGGTCCCACGGATGCGCGGTCGCACGAGCATGTTGCGCGCGGGGCATCAGCGCAGAGACCCCCTGTGTCCATGGGGGGTCGCGGCCGAAGAGTCTGGGGCCGCGGGGCCGTGGATGTAGAGCATGCTTCTCACCCACGAGACATGCCGAACTGTCGATGCTGGTGTGCGTGGACGTCCTCAGGGCACCGTTTTCTCAGGTCGCCTAACTTCGCACATCGCGCCCCGCGATGCGCGACACGCGCGTATCTCGCGCCATCGCGCCCTCGCCTCAAACACCTGGAGAAGGGCAACCGCTTTGGCCCAGACTGCGACGCGCGAAGCACGACTATCCTCGCGCCCCCGCGGGTGACCTACAGTTTTCCTCCTCCTTATCCTCCTCCTCCTCCTCCTCCTCCTCCTCCTCCTCCTCCTCCTCCTCCTCCTCCTCCTCCGTCCTCCTCCTCCGTCCTCCTCCCTCCTCCTCCACCTCCGTCCTC